ATGCGCAAAGACCTTCGTAATACAAACATGCATCTAAAAAGAGAAGCATAAAAAATAAGAAAAAGAATGAATGCATACCTTGTCAGGATATTCTTAGGTAAAAATTAGGTCACCTTATTAGATCAAAAATCCCAAAAGAGAATACTAGGCAAAAGATAAGGCAAAAGCCCCCTAGATCTATTTAGGCAAAAACTAAGGTAGCCGTTCAGTGGAAAACTCGTAAACGCGGTATAGGCGAAAGATAAAGCTAAAACCAAAAGATGAATAAAAGAGAGCCCATCATCATGGTCATAAAGGAGGAGCCCATCGCGTACTCATAAGAAGCTATTAACGGGAGAAGGAGATCACCTTTTAAAATAGTCAAAAATAAATAAATAAAATAAAATAGATCCGTGCTAGAACATCTACACACAAAGTAGGTGCACAATACGATTTCTCAAAATTAAGAAAAAATAATTTTCATGGTGTGAGGAGGATAGTCTCCATACCTGTGATTGAAAATAGGAGGCGCCAGAAATCCGGTCTCCAAATAAAAATTCCTTCAAATAACTCGCGAGCAAAATTAAAATTGCGGAAGAGAAGGGGAAATCAAAGCCACTCAGGCGGGATAAAGAGCTTCGAGAGTATCATAGCTCCAACCATTCTCTTTCTACACCGATAAAAGAGGAGTATACCTGGAAAAAGGCCAACGGGAAAGCCTGATGATGCCCGAGCACGTAATCCGTCTGCTCTAAAGGAAAAACAAAAAGATTACCTCACGGACTCAGCTTCATCATCACATGAGTCAATCGAGCACATTCATCCAGAATCTCCGCTACTTCAAAAGGAGAATAAAAATCAACCAAAGAAGATATGAAGTCAAAATCTCCATATCCCCTCGGGTTTCAAAAAAAGAAAGAAAAGAAAAACTTTCATTCCTCAATAGAAGCCACGCAGGAAAAAGGCAATATGATCGGAAAAACCATTCCCAGCAGAATAAGAGCATCGACAAAGCTAGCTCAAAATAACAACATCCAACAAGGAGTCAAAAACTCCATTTCTCCCTATGGGGCAAATCAAAATAGATCTCAGGAAAGCAATCAATTCCCGGTGGATCATCAACAAGAAAAATTACCCCAAGTGAGCCTACGACAAAGGCAAACTACAAATTCATATCCTCGGGAGTTAATTGCCTATAATGCCCAATATGGAAATTCCCAATGGGATGCATAGGCGAGATCTAGCAAGCACAAAGTCTTCATTACCGATGAAGCATCCGCCTACTCAGAGGCATTATCAAGAGCAAATATCCCTGAGTGGAACATTAGCCTATTCGGAGGCAAAAACAACACAAGCATAAAAGTCTTCACCATTGTTGAAGCATCCTGCCTAATCAAGAGGCACAATCAACGGAAATCAACAAATCCTCAATGGATTCTTGCCTAAATCAAGAGGTAATCATCGATAATCCCCAAGCAAATCAACAAGCTGGATGGCTAACAGAAAAGCCAAAAACAAAGAAATCCCAGGCAAGGATCGGATGGCTAAGCAAGAAATGCCAGAAATAAAAAATCCCCAATGGATTCACTGCCTAAATAAAAGGCAACCAACAAATAATCCCCGACAAACAACACGTCGGATGGCTAAAAAAGAGCCAAAAACAGAAGAATCCCCGATAAAACCGGATGGCTAAGATAGAAAAGTAAAGACAAAATCAATCAATTTCCATGAAAATAGGCGCATGATCAGAAACGTTAAGCCGCCAATACATCTCATACCAGGTGGGGGTAGGTGCCCCAGCAAGAGCCTTGCGAATGGGGTTCGTACCAAGGTGGGGGTAGGTACCCACAAGAGCCTTGAGAACGGGGTTCGTACTAGGTTGGGGGTAGGTACCCACAAGAGCCTCTTTATTTACCGCTTTATGTATGCAATAGAAAATAGAATCATGTAGATAGACATTTTTTAATATTGTATAATAAAATAGGGTAATAGCGTAATTTCTCTTAATCTTTACTTTATGAATTAATCCGTCATAGGGAACCCAGAAGAGCGTCATGGGGGTGCTAACACCTTCCCCACGCGTAACTAACTCCCTTACCTAACTCTGGTTATAATGGCCAAGTTTGGTTTTTCTTAAAATCAAAGCCTTTTTATCCTTTTCCAATGTTTATGGTCAAAACATTGGTGGTGACTCCATAAGAACCCTTTTGCGAAAACCTTGCTTTTATTAGAGGATAGTACATTTGTTGAGCACCTCGGGAGCAATGATCACATTTTTAAATAAACGCGAGTCTAAACCATCTTTCGCGATCGCTCGCATAAACGTTCGAGATGTCCCTAGACGTCGGAACGGACAGCGGCGACAGATGGCGACTCCATCGGGAAGCTAGAGAGTTGATCCCATTTAGTGACGGATAAATTCAAACTAAGTAAAAATTTGAAATTACGCCTTTACCCTTCTTTGTATGTTTTATTGTATGGCTTTAATAACTGTTGTATGATTATTTTTTGGAAATTGTCCGAAATATAAGCTGTACACAAAAACCCTTGCACACTACGGTCCCTCTATACCGGGGGCAAGAGTGAATACCTATAGGGAGTGGGTAGCATATACGACTCGGCTTGTTGGCACACGAGGCTAGCAACGTTGTCGGAAAACCACCAACTCAAGGTGATAACTCTCTTCTTTTGGTCAAGGATGTCGACACGGAGTTCCGTGCATGATCCGAAGACTCGAGAGATTGAGAGGTCCCTATAATGGGGGCACCTTAGGGACCTTTGGCATTGGTGAGAATAGTTTAGAATCGCCTAAACCAAGCATGTTTCTGTAGGAAAATCCTACCTTCGAAATAAGCGTGGCTCTGCTCGTGGATGAGTGAATTGTGTGTGCATTCATTTTCTACATTTGTATTGATGCATTAGCAGAGGGTAATCATACAACAAACAATAATAATAAAAATTCTAAAAACCATAAAAGTGATAAGAGTAAACCAACTTTATCTCGGAAAGTCTTCATTTAAGCTATCCTGGTTTCAGGTTCTTTGTAAGCTAAGTAGCCATGTTGACCAACAAAAGAGATAAAGGGTTATAAAAAATGTAAAAAACAATTTAAACCAATAAAAATACCTCTTACAATCTAAAGATTCTTGACAAAGTCGTATCATTCATACCACATCATCTAATAAGTGGTAAAAGTACGAGAGAAAATAAATGCACTAAGAAAAGTACGCATAAACATCATTATAATAAAATCTCTCATACATAAACACATTCATTGTAGGATGCATTAGATATCCTTAGACAATAGCAAAAGAGACCCAAGTGTGTTTATAATCTTCCTAGAAGAGATAAGTGCGCTAAGGTATGTTGGCAACCTTTGAAAAAGGGAGCTATCACATCGAGGTGGGTATGGTATTCCCTAAAGCATAAGCTTTTAGGAAAATACCAAAGCTATTGTCTAAGACATATCTACCTTACACTAATAATTTGAAATAAAAAACAATAATAAAAATCTTTAAAATCATTTAGAAAGTGGTTGGTCTTTTGCCTGTCCTCACTCGCGCTCAGAAAGCTAAAAAGATGGAGCAATTAGAAGAGAAAAACCGAAAGCTCACCACTGAACTTAATATGCTGAAAGATCAAATGATTCAAATGATGGAAATGATGCGTCAGCAAAGTCTCCACAAGGAGGGTCCTTAGAGTGGACAAGCCTCTCACCAAGAAGAGGAAGAGGAACCTAATGTTGAACATGCCCAATCCGACACAAGGGCAGGACATATTCATACCCTGGAAATATCAAAACAACAAATTACTGCCCTTGAGGAGAGGTTGAGAGCCATGGAAGGGCATAACTTTGATGTTAAAGAGGCAGCTGATATGTGCCTCGTTAAAAACATCCAATTCCCCAACAAATTCAAGACTCGGATTTCCCAAAGTACATGGGAATAACTTGCCCCAAAACCCATCTCACAATGTACTACTCGTAAGATGGCTGCATATGCTCGACAATGAGAAACTCTGATCTCGTTGCTTTCAGGAGTGCTTGGCTCGAGTCAGCCTTAAACTAGTATATGCAATTAGAAGGAGGACAAGTCCAAACCTGGAGACATCTCGGCTCGATGTTTTTCTTCATCGTTATAAATACAATATTAATCTGACCTCGAGAGAGCAGATTTACAATTACTAAGCAAGAAAGACGATGAATCCTTTAAGGCATATGCCCAATGATGGAGGGAATTAGCAGGCACAAGTAGAACCTCCTCTATCCGACAAAGAAACCACATCCATGTTTATCAATTCTCGACTCGGTCCCTACTATGACAAAATGATAGGGAACACATCAACACTTTTGCGGATGTGGTAATTATAGGAGAAAGAGTGGAGCAAGGATTGAAAAGTGGAAGAATTGCACAACATACTTCCTCTAATTCCTCCACCCCAAATGTTAAAAAGAGCTTTGGAAAAAAGAAGGAAGGAACCATAAATGCAATCAACTTTGCCACTCCTTCTTCCTCCTTGCAGCGAGACCAAGTCACGCAGACCGGAAAGGAAATTCACTCCAATACCCACCTCCTATGGAAGTTTGCTTTTAAAATTGTTGGATGCCAAACTCCTCGTGTGCATCCCTCCCAAGAAAATAGAGCCCCCATATCCAGAATGGTATAAGCCAAACAAAAAATGCAATTATCATTTGGACGCTCCAGGACACTCCGTAGATAACTGTGTGGCCTTAAAGCATAAGGTCCAGGATTTAGTAGATGCAGGATGGATTACCTTTGACGCATCTACTCCAAAATTGGATGATCAGCCTCTATCTAAGCTCCGAATAAAAGATGGAATAAGGAAGATCAGCAAATTAGGGCTCATCATTTTTTTGTCATTTCTTAAAAAAATATATATATATATATATATATAA